CCATTATTACTGGATGGAAAATTATCCTTATTCAAATACTAATCTTCAAAGACAAGCAGGCAGAGGTCTTCAGCAGATAGTGGGGCTTTTTCCCCAGAAAAACAAACAATATTTTTTTTTAAATACTGGTTAAATTTCTAAAAAAGGAGGAGGACAGTTTCTCTATGCAATACCCATGAGAGCCATAGAGGGGGAGACTGGTCGTTTACGACGGTAGAGTAGCCCAGCTTCTTCCAGTGGGAACACAAAAATCCCAGTAGATCCAAAGCCTTCCCACAGACCCCCCCTGCCCACAGCTGTGCCAGATCAGCAATAACGCTGTGGTTCTCAACTCTAACTCACCACCAGGTTCCCACTGTCCTTTCCCTGTATGCAGACTCCTGCCCTCCTCCCTTAGACCCCTGTCATGAGGACTTCTCAGACATAAGTTTTCAGTCTGGCCAGCACCTTTCACATGCACCGTGTGCTTTTCCTCAGTAGCGCCTCACAGCACCATGGCCCTTCCTCGGGCCCTTTCCCATCAAAAGCCAGCTCCACGCAGACTCCCTCAGCCTTTCTTACCCTTCCTGTCTTCCAGCCCTTTGTGAAAGATCCCTATCCCACTTGATGAGAGTAAATCATTCAGTCATCACCATTTCTAGCCTATCTTTCACGAGAGATCAGATTGCCTCCCCCTGCTGTTCCACAGTTTCATTGCCATTCCTGTCTTCCCTGCTCACAATTTCTTTTGTACAGCAGGCAGCTTCAAACCTCATTTTTGCCATCTGGAAGACAAGACAGCATACTTTGAAGAGTTTCCCTCCACCATATTTAATTCAAATCCTTTAGCCTTCTGGGGATGAGTTGGTTTTGTCAGTAATTTGAGTAATAAGAGCACAAACATAATTGTTAACTGAGCCAAACTGTTTCTGAGCTTTCCTCAGTAAAATTCCTGTCCTAAATCACAGCTCCCTGTGTTTTAGGAAGTGATTTCCCTCCTAACTCCATCTGGTTTAGAACAAGAATAAAGTCAGGCAAGAGATTTGCAAGAACCAGAGGGTTTAAAATTTGCTAACAAGAGGGTTTGGGAAGATAAGCAGTGCCAGCTTGCTGTAGAAATCTTAATAAATTGGAACAGTCCAATCAATAATAGCATTTATAATTTTTCTTTCAGATCTATCCCTTTAGTAGATGAAAAATTCTTTTTAGGGAAGATATTCCCAGCTTCTGGTTTGGAATTGGACCCCTTGGTTAATATTTTTCTTTAAATTCCATGGCCTGTTTGCCTTCATTCCTGAAGACTTTTTTTTTTTATTATTTTCAATGCACATGGAAGTTCTTATTAAGCATTCATCCAAACACACTCAGTAGATCTTGCGTGCTGCCTTCTAGCAGAATGCTTTTAATTGAAAGGAAAACCCTACCTCCTGCTAGGTTTGGGTGGGCTGCAATTAGTTCCATACTAGTTAGTTTTTCCAGAAAGTCATATAACTCTTCTACACAGGCATTCCCACTCTGGTCCAGCTGCAAGCAATATGCTGAGTCAGCAAAAACAAGGAGGCAAAAGGAATTTTTCATTGAATTAAGAATCCAATCTGTCCTCAATCTTATAAAATATGTGTTGGATTCCATCTGCCCTGGAAGTTCCCCACTCTGATCACGCCAGCTACTGGCACTCGCACAGGACCCACGTGCCTGCAGTGATACTGCGAACTGCCCCACTGCAAGGACGCTCTGGACTCCATCAGCCAGGGGCAACATCTTGCAAGCTAACAATGTGAGCCTGTCCAGGGAGCAAAATACAAATGCCCCCTTAAGCTTGAACCACACTTCTTCGGTGAAAAAAAAAATTTAAAAAATGTGTCTTCTGTTCCTTACTTGCAAGGAAAACGAAATCCACTGCCCTACTTGTAAGATGCAGCGACTGAAACCAAGAGCAAAGTGCGCAGAACATGTGAGTTTTGGCAAATTCAGATGCAGAAAAACTAAAAGTTGGAGGAAATCATTTTCTGGGTGCCTCTGGTTTATTCGAAGCCAACAAAGCATGAAATGGTCTTAACAGTTTGTTGTGTTTTGATGTAACATGATGATCTAGAATTTCTCGACAAGTAGCGTAGGAGCTTGAGTTTCAGTTTGTTGATTGGTGGTTTTCTGGATTCGTCCAAGAAATGTATTCAAACAGTATGTGCAGCAGAAACCATTTTTAGTCATGAATGTTCAATGGCAAACATCTGAAAGGGGACATCCAATAATAAAAACAACAGTTAAGTAAACCAAGCTTTATCATTTCCAAAGACAGTTGTTGAAACTGGGAGATGTTTAAACTTTCATGTGTGCCTAGGTATTATTCTATGTTCTAACAGAAATCCATGAGTCACAGGCCTTTACTAAATCTAAGAACTACTTATTTTAAGACCTATGGATTTTGAATGGTTTCACATCCATGATTCAGATCAGCACAGTCAGTCTTCTAACACAGTGACTACTGCATAAAAGTTCAAAATAGTGAGCCTATATTTAGGTTATTCTTTAACAAGCTTCTCTTGGTAGTAATAAAAGACACCAGGTAAATTCTGCTTTATTAAGTATAAGCTAAAGGAAAATATCTCTTATATATATATATATATATATATATGGGAACTGTTTTATGGGAAAAAAACTCTGTTTGAACTTTTTCCTTTGAAGTTAGAGGTTTTCATCATGGAAAATTTTTGAGAATTTTAAAGGAGTGTTTTAGTTTCACTTTGACTTAAAATATCAGGTTTTTTTTTTTTTTTCCAAAAACCTACAACAGTATAAATTGAAATGATTAAAAAATATTTTTTTCTGAATCATTGATTTAGCACGAAAAGCACTTTCGGATGTATTTGCTGCAGGGAAATGAATATTTCCAGGGGAAACAAAGGAACATTATAAAAAGCAACATTAACAAAATAGTATTTTTGGTAAGAAAATCTTCTGCACTAAATACTGCAGCCAACAGTAATTACAATTTGTCCAAAACCCTAAGAGAGCTACAGTGGATTCTTGGAACCTTTTAAATAGCCCACCTCATGCTGTAATAATGTTGCACAGTGAGAGTGTGAAAAGATTATAGTGAAAGGTTTGTATCCCAACAGCACCTGAATATAAACATGTTTGTTTAACTGACAACAGCTTCTTCCACACACAATTTTAAATTTGCAGAACACTATAAATAGATAACACTTTCACTGAAAGCATTAAATTAGCCAACTGGGTAGACTTTGTAATGTGGAGTAATGTGGAGTGATAATGAACACCATGTGTGTGTGATAATGGGGGTTGTAGAAAATAGATCTGGCCAGCTGAGTGAAAAGGAAATGCTAAAGAAGAAAAAATCTGAAGTCCAAGCCAAAACAAGTGACCTAGAGGAGCAAGTAAAGGTTTGTATTTGGGGCAGGCTAGAGGCCTGAGAGAGATCAGCAATTCAGCAGGGTATTTTTAAGCATATGCTCAAGGCCCTCCTTATTCAGCAGGAAACTTAAGCATATGCTCAGAGGTTAAGCATCAGCTAAAGTCTCATTGATGTCAATGGGTCTTAAACACATGCCTAGAGATACATATGTGCTGAAGTGCTTTTACAAATAAGAATGGACTGGGGATCAGGGCCTCAGTCCCCTGGTATTCCATAGCAGGCTAACCCTGCAACCTCCTGGCTTTCCAAATTCTTCTGAGTAGATCTCATTTATTATACACACAGGACCAGACTTAAGTGTTAAGAACTTGCATTACTGTACATAACTGCCATTAGCCCCTTGGTACCAAAATAAATAGGAAAGTGCAGATACATTTAAAAAACACCAGTAACTTCTACTGCAATGTGTCCAAGGAATTCCCTTAATGATAACAATGAAAGCATAAAAAAAGCAGAAATGCGACTTTTGAGCAGGTCATTTAGCCTTTCCATCACTGATGTAAAAAAACTTCCACAAGAACGAAGTTAAAGGTAAAACTGAATCTTAACTGAAACCTGACTTCAAGTAACTTATTTTGAAAGACCGCATGGTGCTCTTAGTTTTTGTGCAGCCAATGGATCTGGACTTCCTTATGACCTTCCGTGCCTGAGTAGTCCACTTATCAACCACAGAGCTGGCTGGGCATCACTGTAACAACAGAAAAGTTGTTTTTTGGCAAAGTTTTCTTTGCCAGTTCATCTTCATGTAGGCAAAATGCAAAGAACTATTCTGCTGTGATATAAATTTAGATATCCACAACAACTATTCTCTGAATCTGAGATGGCAGGTTAACATTATGAAAAAAATCTTCAAAATTTTTAGGTAAGTTAGGCCAGATTCAAGTACGGCTTCTCCTTCTTCCTCCTTCTTTAAAACTGCATGAAAATACACCATAAAGTGGCAAGAAGAATTATATGGTCAGATTACTAATCATATTAAATTTTTTTTCTGTAAACTTAGCACAGAATTTGAAATTATCAGTAAAAATCCTTCTTGTGCATTTCAGTGAACCTGAACAACCACTTGGTCTCTGCATTTTGTAATTCTCCAAGGATAAATATGCAGCAGAGGAAATGGTCATAAAGACGAGTTGCAGGGCCATCTGAGAACTACTTTAGACGGACTCTGTAAATGATGGCCCATTTTAAAACACCCTTAACGTGGCAGGAGCAAACTCAGGTGCATCTGAGCAGCAGGACACTGCCAAATTACTGCTGTGTGTGTAACCACTGCGTTGCACTCCTCCACTGTTGCCACAGCGGTGATTGTAGCAAAAAGATGACTTCAACAAACAAACAAAGCTTTATTAAAATTCATTAAAGTAGGCAGAAAATGTACTATTTACATGTGTGTTTCCCTTCTGTCACATGACTCATGTCTTAAACTGGGGAGCATTACTGTTTGGCATTTCCTGCAAATGCACTGAGGAAACGCTACAGCAATATAGTACTCCTTCCATAGATGTTAACATTTAAAGACTCACAGAAGTGGCTAATGTTCAGTTTCTGGTTAACATTTGCTCACTTTCTTGCTTTGTTTTTTCAGATGAAGACAACCTGGTGAAAGCATTCCCACATTCCTCTTTGCACTTCTGCTATGACAAAACTTAGCTGATGTAGGCAAATTCAAGCTCTAAAAGCATATATCTTCGACCGACTTTGTTTCAAGTTTCTGCCTCTTCATTAACCATGGAAAAGCACCTCTTCCTTCTTGCCCAAGCAAGCTGCTGGTTATCATTCCCATCCCTCCGGTCGGTCGAGTAACACATGATGCTGGCCTAGTATAAATACGAAACAGGTTCCTTTGGAATCTGAAATACTGTTTGTACATCCTACCACTGACCACAGCGGAACAATGGTGTGCCAATTATACAGAAAAAAATAACTCTATTTGCTTGCTCTTTCTGTACCTCTGTCTGAAATATACCTAGCTCCAAAGCTATTATTTATAGTTATGAGGTGACAACTGAGAGCTAGCAGTCTGCTGAGTGAAAAAATGCTTGCGTTTATCCTTTTTAGAGATATCCTATATATACGTGCACATACATGCGCAGCAGCTATTTATACTGGATAGGGAGAAGTACCTAATCAATTACAGTGTTTATTCAGTGGCATGAAAAGTTCTCTGTTTTGTGTGAATTAAGTGACAAAACTCAATTTTTAAAGATTATTCAATACGAAAATAATTTTATTCAAAGCCTACAGCTGCTCTAACATTGTTTAAAACATAGAGAAGCAGTGTTGTAGGTTTTCTGTGAACACTTAAAGAAAACTTCCATTCTAACTTCCATAGTCACAATTTGATGCTATGGTCTTTTTTTTGGCAACTTGAAACTATCAAGAAGGGTTTGCCTTCATCATCTCCAGAGTTTGCCTTCAAGCAGTTGCAGACTGCCCATAACTGCCTCCTCATCAGGCTCTACAAGCACAGCACCCTTCACCTTTTTGTAAAAACCTCATCCCCTGTGGTTCTGGCCACCCTGGTAGCCCTCCACTACTGCCTCTCCAGCATCTCAACACTGCCAACGTTTCAACCAAGGTCACACATCACTTCTGTAGTGCTGAAAAATAGGATGAGCTCAGCTTTATCAGGGTTGCTTGGAAGATTGTCACTGAACAACCCTTTACTCTCCTTGGGCTCAATGGATCAGCTTTGTCAGGCCCAGGTGAGGCAGTTTAAGACACCAGTGTTACAGGATGTGCCTTTCCCCAGTTCCAGAGGTGACCACCCCTTGCACAGAGAAGGCACAGAAACCACCAACTGCTCTCCTCTCTTACCTCTGCTCTGGGGACAGCACAGGGTGACAGATCATGGAGTCTATAATGACTGACATCACCACACCTATATCCTTTGAAGGGCATTTTCAGGTGGACTTTACCTCTGAATTTCAAACAATCTTATTATTCTGGGTCATTTTTTTCCATGAATGGATCATTTCAAGGAAATATAAAAAAACAACCCTATGATCAGATGCAGTCTAAGTCCTATGACTGCTACCCTTGATTTAAGAGGAGAAGAAATCCGCTGCACAACAGTTTCCAGCAGGCAAGCATTTAATAAATCTTGTGAAAGTGTGAGGAAAATATGAGGGGAAAAAAACAGACACTGATAAGAGAAATACTTTCAAAATAGACAGCAACAACAGACAGTTTAAAGTAGTTTTCTAGCCAAATAATTACAATAGTTCTCTGTCATAATTTCCCTTGGATGAAAAAAGTTGAAAACAAATAGGTAGTAATCTGCAAGTCTGAACCACAGAAAACTTGTTGCACTGTCCTTCTAAGGGAAAGTTAGAACTTGTGTCAAAATAGGACTGTTCATCACACAAAACTTAATGGTCTACCTCAGTTCTTGGCCCCTGACCACATGCGTCATGTTGGGTACTAACCCTCTCATGAGCAGTGTGACTGACTTTGGCCTCTTCTTCAACAGCTCAGCTGTGTACTTCCCTCCTTAAAATGGGAGAGACAACTACTTAACAGAAGAACCGCATTCTAATAGCTGCGAATCCACCCAAATCCAAGTTCTTAGCATGTTGGGACACTTTATCTGTGTTTCCTATTGAGCAAAATCAACTCTGCTTCCTTATTCCTTTAGGTATCTCCCTGTTCAGTGCCTTGTTTACACTCTCCAGACTGCTCTCCAGAAGCCATCAAAGCTGCCTGGCTCTCTCCACATGCTAGGCAGAGGGGCTGAGGTGGGATTTAGGTTATCTGACCACGGCTTGAAGTGGAGTCCAAGTATCCTGCCAGCAGGCAACAATTTCTTGGCTCTGCTCACCTTAACCATCACATATTCTTGATTCAGCTCAAATTTCACGCAGTCCAGGGGCTATCCATGCCTATGAGCTTCCAGTAAACCTTTGGGAACGCAGTATATACACACACACACACTCCTCGGGCAGTTCCCTGTGAGTGTGCCAGGCCATCAAAAGTGTTTCTTGTTCCCAGCTTGGAAACATTTGACCTGCTGAAGAGAAATCAACGTCTGGCACGTACTCCCAACCCACACTTTGTTTTCATATTCTTTGCTATCAGTAAAGACATTTTAATAAGCCACAAAAAAGTTCTCGATGAATTTGCTTAGTTAAAAGCATTTCTGAATTTACACTGTAAACAGAGCGATGACTCAATGGCAATGCTTCCTAAAACCCCAAGTACTCAACAGTAAATTATATACAGGAAAAAAGACAGTTTTAGTCATAAAAAAAAAAAACTCTACTCTTGTAACTGGTATTTACGTCATCTATATAAGACAGGGTAATAAGTAATCAGGCTCTTTTGTTTTACTTGCCCATTACCTTAACATGCACATTGATTCTAGAGAAGTAAAGTCTAATTTAATAAGGCTATTATGAGGAAGGAGACAACTTTCCCTTTTGCACACAATTAAAAACTACCTCTGAAGATGTCTACACACACTTGATTTCCAGCCATCAGCAGACACAGAACAGCAGTGGCAAAAGCCAGAAGATTCACTCTGGAACTCTTCTGGAGACACACTGCTTTGGGATGGGATTGGGGATTTTGGGTCAAGCTATATGTCAGCCCAGTTTGTACCATCACAGCAGCATGGAGAAATTTCAACACTGCTTAAACCACATGGACACTGAGGTTCAAACAACAGAGTAGTGGAGCTAAACCAAATGGTACAACAGATCTCTGAACACACAGTTCAAAACTGTCTCCCTCCAAAAAAGATGCAACAGGATCTACCCATTTAAATGGAACTCTTGTGCTGAGTTCAAGCATCAGCATCAGTGTCTGGTAAAACACAGAGAAGAGCACTGGGATGAGTACAGAGCCCAGATCAGAGATCAAACTAGAAACCCACTCCTGAGGTCTTGGATCATACATGTAAGCAATGCTTGCTGTTCCATACACTTGGATAAATTCCTATTTCCTGAATATCCCTCTATGCAGTCTTGACACTGGTACGAGGAGACTGCATAACCAATTCCATGAAGTTGCCTCTTCTCAAGGAGTAAATATGCTAATACACTGTGGGGCTGAGGCTGGGGGAAAAAAAAAAAAAAAAAGTTCAACGGGTTCTCCCCACTTTTTATGCCTGTCTTATAGTTAGGATTTGCCATCAAGTATCCCTCTCAAAGGGAAAAAGAAACAAATTTGGGGAGTTGGTTTGTTGGCTTTGTAAACATTCTGTTATAAACTCATAAACTGCATTGTTTTAAAGTTTTTGCTTGCTCAAGAAAAAAAGTGCTCCCTTTCAGAGAGAGGATAAAAGTGCCTAAAAAAAAAAAAGAAAAAAAAAAAGGAAAAAAAAAGAAATAAAGAAATGCATACTTTAGGAATGTTTCTCACAGGAAAAAGAAAAGCCGCTCATACAAAAGGACATATAAGGCAAAATTCACACAGATATAAACAACTAGAAAGTAAATATTAAAGCTCACCAAACTTTTCTGCCAATCACACACCTAACCTATCTGACTGCCTCTCCTCTCACATAGAGCCAAGTAACCTGCTCCTAGATAAATGTCAGACACGGCACCCTGACCTGGACTAACACTCTTACATGGACACTAAGGACATTGCTAAAGAAACACAGAACCTATTGTTAATCATTTCTTCTAGCAAACTTCCCTCACAGCCTGAGCTAGGTACTATACTAAATTGTGAAGAAATCATTAGAACTGCTATGCTGCAAGTGACTTTTAAATCAAGTGCATCAGTTATACGGTATTTAGCACTGTGCTGTGAAGGGTGGTAAATGGAGGTGTCATAAATATCTGACTTTATCATCTGTTGACTCATAATCCAGATGCCAGTGGGATATAAATCATGTAAAGCATGTTTCCAGATTAGGAAAGTCCGGCTGTTCACTATTGTTCTAGCAAACCACATTATTTCTTTGTAGGATCAGGAGTGCCCTCTGATGGATAGCAGCTATTACTGGGAAGAGCTGACTGAAAAGTGGCACATCCTAAATCATCTATGCAATACAAGATGTTCTCGCTTCCTGCACTATACATTTACAGTCTTCTGTCTGCTTAAATATTACAACAAAACTTGGCTTGTTGGAAATATCCTTTTGCCTATTTCGCTTTCCATTTCCCTCATTAATATTGTTATTTAAGGGTGTACACATACACACATTAGGGGTGAAATCAGAGCACTGCATATGCATACATCTAGTTTTAAAATAAATAAATTGAAAGAAATTTAAGACACAAACCATGACATTTCTTTAACAGGCTCTGAGAAAGGCCTTGAAAGACTCTGAACAAATTCAGACACCTGGAAATTCAGATATTCAGCTGAATATAAATATTCATATATTATATATATTTTATATATATATATAACTTGGAAAAACAGACAAACCTTCCTAGGTGCTTATGTACACATACAAGCTCAAGAACTCGTATGTATTTTTCTTACTCTGTAAGATAACTTGATAAAACATGTTAACTCTCTCTGCAAACTTTGCCCTCGCTTGCATCCTTAGAATATCAAAAAAGAACTAGGAGAAAAGAGGAAATAATTTTTTTCTCCCTCACCTGTTACTTAACCTGCCTGTCAGGTATTGAGCATCTTAGGGCTGCATGTAATTTTAAATTTTATCACCTATAATTTCAACTGCCCTCTCAAAA